CTATTTAAAAAAAAAAAATTAAAAAATTAAGAATTTTGCTCTTGGTCTTTCTGCTCAATTATTCTTCCAAAAGCTATCTTGCCCCATCCCTCCTTCATAAAGTAATTCAGCTAGAGAGAAATGGCAAATTACCTACCTATACGTAGTAAGAAAAATTAATTAATGACCAAGATGATAAGATAATCCCACTACTAAGATGATTCATGTGCTTCATTCATTTAGTTTTAAAGCATGGTCTCACATCACTGTCTCCTAGGAATCGAGGTCAACAAGAGTTTGTACACACATTTCTGGTCAAGAAATCTCTAACCACATATATAGCTGCTTTTGAGCTCACTGGTGTAGCATTATTTTAACTAAGAAATAACACTGCTACCACCAAAGCAAACAAAAATGCACAAAAAGACTATCACATGGAACAAAGAACACTGCATATGTAGATTGAAAGCTACACAAATAAGGATTTCCTAGAGGTTTCCCAACCCAGAGAATTTTATAAAGATAAACCATATCTCCTGAATATTTTAACTTGGTAGGTCAGCACTACCCAGAAATGTTTTGTTTTAAACAACAAAGGTGAATCTGATAGAACAAATTCACAGATCTACACCTGGGAACCTCCAGTGAGTCTCACTTCCAAGGCACAAATGAGTATTAGAAGATAATCCACAATAATGAATTTATCTAGTACTATGTATTTCCAAATAGAGAAGAACAAAATAAGAATGATGAGAGCAATTTCATTAAACAAACTGGGTTTCATAGGAATAGACCTAAACATTCGTAATGCTCACTTAAGGATGCGGCTAATGAATAATGTAAGTTTACAGAAGCAAAATTTGTTTTTGTTTTCAAAAATATCTATTGAACAGAAAGAATCATCAAATTAATACCACGGCTTGATTCACTGATGCCTTGAATCATTCATTCAGCAAATATTTATTGAGTACATATCTTTGTTCTATGTGCTAAGCTAACCGCTCAAAACTGAGAAGCTCTCATGCTACATAAACTCAATGGTTTACAAATCTTTTAGATGCAGACAAAGCACAAACAGGTAAGGCGAGAAGAGGACCCTTAATCTACTATTGGCAGGTAGGGGTGATGTCCTTTTCTTAGGAGGCTACAGGGGCAGACTGTGGTCAAGGTACTAACAGACAGAGTGGGGGTTAGTACACGTGGGTATTATTATAAGTGTAATGGGTTCCTTTCTCAAATTAACAGTGGCCACTAGCACCTAACGGGGGAAAGGAGAGGGGGAGGCTAAGGTAAGCTGGGGGAGAAAAGAGAGGGTAAAAACAAAAAGCAAAACCATCCGTTTCTAGGCAGGGCTGAGTCAAGGACAAGAAACTTGAAATGAGAGCTATCACGAAGCCCACAATCCAAGCCCACATACTGCTGTATTAAATTTCAGAATCAGTGTGCTATCATATTCACCTACTTTAACATTTTCAGTAAGCACAAACAAGTCATTTACCTATGTTTTCCTCCTACATCTTTGACAGGATAAACAAAATGATCAATGTATCTCTAAGGGACTAGGTGTGTGATAACACTAACCATTCAAATTCTTTTTATTTAATGTAAACTTCAGTGACTTTGTTCTTTCTATTGCTCTGTCATTAGTGTCTAGAAAAAGGGTTCAGTAAATATTGGATGGATGGATGGATGGATGGATGGATGGATGGGTGGGTGGAAGAAGCAAATCTAGAGATCCAGAAGCCAAAAGAAAGTAAGCAAAATCTCTTCTGGCTGATCTCCCTTCCCAGACAGCTTCAGAATTTCAGGAATCAGTAGGAGGAATGCCCAGGGCAGACCCACAAATTCAAAGAACATGGAGAACTGGCATTTGTTATTTAAGAGAAAACTAGCTAGAAACTAGAAAAAGTCCAAAGGACTGTGTCTAAGACAAAGGCAGAAAACAATGAATTGGGTCAATAACGAAGCAAGCCAGACTGGTTACTGAGTAAGAACCTCTTAGGGGTTCTTACTCAGTAAGTAAGCATTTCTGAACGGGGAAGAAATTTTTATGGGATCCCTGTGGCCTGTCCAGGCTGTTGGTAAAGCAAGGGAAGGTGCTAAGACATTCTAGGCAACACCTTTAATTCTGAAGAGACTTTACAAAGGTAAAAAAACCTTTAGCATAGCACCGCAATTTCAAATGTGCTGTGCACGGCTCTCAAAGGCTGGGAGGTGAAGCATGGTAGTCTTTATACATCCAGAGCCTTAGGAGAAGGTGTACCTGAGCCCTAAGACATCTGAGAGAGAGAGAAGGAAATATCAGCAAAGGGAGGAGGGAGGAGGCAGAGGTTACGGTGTCCCAGAACTAAATAAACAAAGTGTTTCAAAAATGAGAGTCTGAGAAACTGTGTCAAATATTACTGACGTCTGCGTAAATGGTGACCTTGACTCGGGCGCTGCATGCCTGAGGTCAGGGCAAGCAAGAATGGCAGGAAAGAGAGGAGAGAGAGCAAGTGTAGATAACACTTTTAAGGAGTTCTGCTTGACAGAAGCAGCAGAAAGGTACACAGAGAAGAATGTGAGATTAAGAACAAGCTTCTGCCGTAGCTACGTTCTGTTTTAAAGAGGAGATCCGTGCTGGCAGGAATGATCGTGCGGCAGATAAACAGAACAAGTGGAACGGGACCGTTGCTGGGGTGAGGCCTACAAGCCGGGGAGAAGGAACAGGACCCAGTACCTACTAGAGAGGATGGGCACACACAGGTGAACAGTTTAGCCACCTAAGTGGGGGAAGGCAGAATTGATGGGGTACATGTGCACTTAGGTTAGTACATGTGGAGGTGGAAACGTGCAGAAATGTCTCAGTGAAATAGGAAAATATTACTCATCATTAGCTGAGAGTGAGGAAGGGGAAGAAAGTGCTGTCAGTTTAAGAATGAGAAAGTGAGTAAAAATCATGCAAACAAGTGGGAAATGAATGGATGAGGGAAAGGCGGTAGGATTTGCAGCCAGCCAGCACTCAAGGCTCCCATAAGTGCAGGAGTCCTGCCTGAGTGCAGGTGTGAAGGAACCTAGACCAGAGGAGATGAAGCAGAAGCAGGAATCCAGTTTTTCTCAGTGCCTATCCTTCAGAGAGCAGAATCTACAGGAATGAGCGAAAATTAAGCAGTCCGATCTCAGCTACTTGCTCTTCTCCCTTGGATATACACATCTGAGCTTTCAGCATATACATAATTTATCTTGTATACAGTTTAAAGCAGAAAACTGTATATAGAAGAACTTACTCCAGGCTAACTGCATATCTTCAGGGTGATGGAAATATGAAACTTATCATTCCCTACGTTGTTTCTCTCATCACCTTTGTTTTTTATTTTACTCTTCTCATAAAAAGGAAAAAACTTAAATGAAAAATTTTATAAGCGCATGGTGTGAAACAAAGTAGAAGTGCCACAATATGTTGACTATCTGCAGACAGAGGAAACCGTACCACAAACACTGGCAATCTTCAGTATAGAGATGACTTAGATGTAACTCCTACAGACCCTCTGTCCCAGGCCCATCGTGGTAGGGCCTGTTTGCTCTGGTGGACATAGGCTTCCCCGCTCTCCCTGACCCGCCACCACCTACCCTACAGGACCCAGTCCTCCCACCTATTCTGTTACTGGAGCTGTATACAACCACAAAAAGGTTTGAGAAAAACCTTTTCCATCATCAGAGCAGAAAGCACTCAGGAGTGGGGTAGAAGAGGTAGGGAGGAGAGCCTCTTGCTCACTGCAGAGCTACTTTGCAATTATTCCCCAGATCCAGTGACATATACAAGTGTTTCTAGTACTATAAAGGACTGAGAAGATCAGCAGACAGATTCTACTGGCAACATTTAATAAATATAATTAGGTTCACAAACCCTGAAGGAAATGACCTCAAAAATAAAAAATTAAAAAACAGATGGACTATCTACTCTAGGCTTAAGATGTGAACAATGCCATATTCTAAATTATTTCAAAAAGTTTATACTGGTTTGAGTGAAGATCAAATTTTTTCACCTTAACTTTATAATAATTCAGAGTTTAAAAAGACCTACCAGTAAAATTTATTCTACATCAAGTATCACCAGTAAACATTTCTAAATCTTAAGCCCACGTTTTAAATTTGGTATATATTCAACAAAATTTTACAAATAGAGCACACAAATCAAAGATTTGTTTTAAATAGTTAACTACAAAATGGAAGGCTGTCCTCAATGCTGTTATCAACCCATTTTTCTTGATGTTTGTACTTTTCAAACAAAATCTTAAAAGTGTTAACACAAAGCTATATAAAAACAAAGGACAACTTAAATACCAGCAAAATTTAAGAAACAACTTAAACAATTATATTCCAGATATGGGGTAGAGGCTAAACCCTGAAAAGAAATAAAAAGACACAAAAAGAAACCCCAAATAATGGAGAGCCTGCACTAATTTACATCTGACCTTGTTCTGCTCGCCCACAAAAAGATGAGTGGGCAATATATACTCCAAATTTTAAAAATTAAATGTGAAATAAGTGGATAAAGAAATAAGCGAGTATAATCTAGCCTACAACTAAATGCTAAAAATCTTCTTCCCTTACAGGTTACTGGTGTTAGAGCCTGCCAGTGTAAAGAATGAACAGAACATTCTGTCATTGATGGAACTCAGGGAAAACCCAAATACTCTCATTCAGGTCAACACTATTCTCTAAATGAAAGTAATTTAGCATTAACACTGAATAAACTTGGCCTGTAATAAGGGTAACTTTAAGATGAGCTAACTGAATTAGAATTTTGGAGATTACCCAAGAAATTATAACATGTGAATGGAGCTGATACAAATACTTACAGGCTACAGGGTCCACTGAAGTTCTGTGTAAATATATGTGAGAATTTGGTTTCCCCAGATCCAGTGTGCCAAGCTCGGCAGTTCTTCTGATCATGGCACTTTCAATGGTTTCATGAAACACATCTACTCACCTACACAATTATCAACAATGGGATTCCCACGAGCAACATTCCTTCTCACCTGTCTTTGATGATCCAGATCTGCTTTATTACCAATTAAAATCATTGGAAACTCATCACGATCCTTCACTCTGAGAATCTGTCTTTGAAACTTATAGATCTCTTCAAAACTAAAACAGAAACAGACAAATCAATTTGCTCAAATATCAGAACTTGGCTAGTCTCACACCCCATTTATTATCTTATTACTTTACCTTTTTCTCTAAAAACAAGAAGTCCAATTCAATACAATAGTGATCTAGGCATGAACAGAAGATCTACATTTTAATACTGGTACAAACCTGCCTCGATCTGTGACTGAAAAGACCAGCAGGAAACCCTCGCCAGTTCTCATATACTGTTCTCTCATAGCTCCGAACTCTTCTTGTCCTGCTGTATCCAGAACTAAAGAGAAAAACAACACATGGGCAGGCCCAATGAACGTAGGTCCTTCAGAGCACATCCGACTTAGTGCAATAAAGACATGGCATTCTCCTCGGAGTGCTTTATTCTCGATGCTAGAGACAAACATATCTCACAAGCAGACAGTTTCAGGGTCATCTTCATCAGTACGGCTTGATTTCGTAGCTAGAATATATTAGCATACCAACTACAAGGTTAAAAATATCAAATACATCTAGGCAGATGGAGTCAGATCACCTCTGAAGTCAGTTGGATGTTCTATCTCCTCCATGCAAAGAACTGAAAAAGATACCTGTAAATTCAGGACAGAAATCTTGGTCTACTCACCAACACCACACTTACAGTGCAGGTACTAACGTACCTCTTGATCTCTGTGAATGAAAGAATCATGTAAATTAAAAGAACAGGGCTATCTTTTGTGGAGACACGGAGTGTGTGACCAAGCACAAAACGCTATTTGCTAACACCTCTGTGCTAAAAATTCTAAGCAAGTTAACAAATATTCAATCTTTTCTATATTTACTTCACCCATTTTAACATTTGCAAGAAAGCAGGAAGAGCTGAAACTTCATGTTTTTTTCCCAAATGTCCCCAAAAATACAACTTCAACAAGTTACACTGACATGATTAGTTTCACCAGCACAAGATCAACACAATTCTTGTTTTATATTACATTTACTGAGGAATATTTAAATGCTGATTCATCAATCAAAACTAATGAAAAGAGGTGGGCTTATGTTCAAGACCATCTAAAATTTATGCAACTAGCAAAACACCCAAGCTTACTTTTTAAAAATAGGATATGCAAACTATCAAATAAAGGAAGACTACTTACTATCTAGCCGGGCTGCTCGGTCATCTATCACACACTGCTTTGTGTAGGAATCCTCAATGGTTGGGTCATAATCCGTTACAAAATAGGACTGTAAGAAAAAAATCTTATTTTTAAATATATGTTTAATTGCCAAGTACCAATGTAACTTTAATCAAATCCCACTCATCCAAAATTAATAACAATATTTTCATGTATTATGGTTTAAACTACTATGTTGGTTTCCCACTGAATGAAATCTATTCTGAGCAGCTTCCAAGTAGAGAACAGGTACTAAACAGCTCTGAATTTTCCTATCTGATATATGCAAGAAGACTGCAAAACACCTACTACAGTTTTTTCATAATTATATACAATAATGTTTTCATAATTACATATACCCAAGATAATATATATCTAGATCTCATGTTCTTCAAAAACTACAAAAACAGTCAGTTATAAATCCAGGTCTATTTGCAACTTAGTGGTAAGCACCAGTCCTGAGAACAAAGCAGTCTGAAACAAAGGGAGACAACAAATAGGGGCCTGGAAGATTCCATGCCTCATCTTCATTCTCCCCTTCTTTCCTCGCACCTTGTCTTTTTCCCATTCAGCTGCCTTGTGTATCATCATACGGAAATGGGATTTCAGAATTTTTTTTTTATTTGCAGGGATCTCAAACTTATTCTTTCACTGATATTTTTGTTTTTTTCATCTCAACTTCTGTTTGTCTTCTTCTGTTAGCAAAGCCTCCCAACTGTTATCTTCTGCAATCATCACCAGAAGCAAGGACAGTTAAGGTAGCAGAGTAAGAAGGGAAGAATCTCAGTGAGCCAGTTAAAAATGTTTGTGTATTACACTTCACAATTTCTTTAAAGTTTTTAAAAAGAAAACAATGGCAACACTAAGAATCTGAGAGAGAACTTATTTCCCCGCTTCTGACAGAAGGGCACTAACTAGGACACTGACATCATCCTTCTTTTGTTCTGAGCATCTCCTTTGCTCTCCCCTCTTGACTGACTTCCTCAAAGCCTACTTTCCCACTGGCTCATTACCAATTCTGAGGGAATGACTTAGAGGAAGGCAGCTTGATGCTGGGAACCAGAGCCAAAGGGGTTCAGCCATTCTTCAGGCAAGGGTTCCTGGCAGCTGGACCTGCTGGCTCCAGGGACACTGCATTCTTAAGTGACACCCCCCCCCGCCCCCGCCCCCGCCGGCATGTGATGTACACGAACACCATAGGCTACTCAGTAGGAACTCTGAACAAAACAGTAAAGAAACCCCTGGCTGGGGAACTGGGGGTAGGACACTTGATCTGCTTGCTACTATGACTTGATATATTTTATTTTTAAAGGACACTTTCCACATTTTATTTATATTTTAGGATTAGCTTTAATCACAGAATTCAGTATCCATAATCCTATTTCCCTCTGGATGGTTTCACTTAAATGCACGATTTTTCAAAGTCTATAAAAGAAACATTTACCAACAGGAGCAGCTTTGAGTAGAAAACCATCTCCATCAGCACTCCATCCCCATTTAAAAATAAACAGATACCAAAACAATCCTGAACTTGCTTTTTGGCACCCACATCTCTTCTAAAAGTGATAACAACTGGCAACAGTATCTTTCTACACACTCTTCTAAACAACTTAAAACTGTAGTCTTTCCCTCAAGCAAGTTGGATAGGCATGCTGTTTATATCTTTTTAAGATTAGTTTCCTGAAACATGTTTCTCGGCAGCAATGGGATACTTCCTGCCACGCTTTCATCTTGTAAAACCTGAAATTCACTGAGTACTCCCAGTTTACACCTAAACGTGCTGAAGTGTGCTGCACTGTCCCTCCCACTTCATCTGAAAAAATAATGGACAAATATTAAATATATTTCAGTCATGCATGGTAACAAATTCGTTCGATGTGACTTTTTTTTTTTTTACACTATGAGACAGAATTAAGACATTAAGAAGATTACTGGGTTTAAGGAATTTTGAGGGCCATTAAAATAAATTATTTTTCCTTTTAGTGACTATGGAAGTTTCACATTTTCTTTGGCCCTCTTAGTTCTTCAAACATAATTTTTTTTTTTTTTTTAAGAGAGCAGGAGAAAGAAGGGGAGGTAGAGAATCTCAAGCAGGCTCCACACCCAGCATGGAGCCAGATGCGGGGCTTGATCTCACAACCCTGAGATCGTGACCTGAGCTGAAATCAAGAGTTGGGCTTTTTTTTTTTTTTAAGATTTTATTTATTTACTTGGCAGTGACAGAGAGAGAGAGCATGGGCAGGGGGAGCGGCAGGCAGAGAGAGAAGCAGACTCCCCACTGAGCAGGGAGCCCGATGTAGGGCTCGATCCCAGGACCACAGGATCATGACCCAAGCCGAAGGCAGACGCTTAACGACTGAGCCACCCAGGTGCCCCATCATAATCTTAAGGTTATAAGAATTTTGCCACTTTGCTACCAAACACTGGCGCACACGTATTCCACCGATATTTTTAAGACAAACTAATTGCTGGAATTTCTGGTGTTTAGGGTCCATATTTCATCTTCACTGTGTCCTGTTTTCAAACTGTGACTACAGAGACCATCATTTTGTTTCTATATATTGATTTTAGGGAGACAGAAAGCATCTTCCTCCCTCATAAAAACCCATCCAAATAACAATGCTCCAGGGCCTGACTGACATGGAATCCAACACCCCCTTCTCTCTCATAAGGCTTGTAAGCCACAGGTCAGAATGTGCCTAAAAAGAGCATTCTTCATGTGCAGGTAACAAATACAATCATCACCTCCCCCCACAAAGACATAACATTTCTGTTGCTTTAACCTAGGTACCAGATATTTAGGGCAGCAGATCACCAACAAGAAATCAGTGTGGCGATGGACAGTCCTAGATTTGATACTAATTCTGCTACTTTCTAAGTGTAGAACCAGAGGCAAGTTACTTTACCTTTCTAACCTTTAGCATCTGTAAAACAGGACAGTAAGGGGTGCCTGGGTGACTCAGGGTTAAGCGGCAGCCTTCAGCTCAGGTCATGCGTGATCCCAGGGTCCTGGGATCAAGCCCCGTGTCGGGCTCCCTGCTCAGCGGAGAGCCTGCTTCTTCCTCTCCCTCTGCTTGCCACTCTGCCTATTTGTGCTCTCTCTCTCTTTCTCTCTCTGTCAAATAAATAAATAAAAATCTTAAAGAAAAAAAAACAGGACAGTAACAAACCCTTGTGGAGCAGATAAATTCAAGTAGTGCCTATAAAGTGCCAAGACATGCTGATGATTGATAAACGTTAACCACGCTGCAGTATTTCTGTCACACAATTAGATGGTACAAGTGTTTTTATTCAAGTATAAAGACTTGTTAATCCTGGGAACAGCTGTAGTAATTCCAATCCTGGTTATACCAGAAACCAACCATGGCACTTGGCATCCAAAATGTTGTAGTCAAGATAAAATCTCCTCATGTGAAGTTTTAGAGATTTTTTTTCTGGAATCTGAGCAGTAATTACACAGATACACACATAGGTAAAAATTCATCAAGCTGTACACACGATGTGTGCACTTTTTTGTATGCATACAAATTGGACCTCTGTAAGATACATAAATTTAATGATTCCCTGCTGTTTACAGGATTCAGTGCTTTCTTCACATAGCATGCAAAGCCTTCTAGTTTGATCTGTACTGTTCATCATAAGAAGCCTTATTTTTTACTACTTGAAATCCTCAGCCAATTGCTCTTGCTCTCCTGGTTTCATTCGTTTGTTTGGCAGTTATTTATGGAGCATCACGGGGACAAGGCCCAACTTTCACAGAGCCTCACTGCTTTTTACACAACATCCAGTGCTGCGACTGGGGGTGAAGGGAATGGGGAGTGTGAAATAGACAGGCATGAAATGCCAATACCATGCTAGTTCAGAAGGCAACAAAATTTAAGTGGCTTAAAGACTGTAGTCATGTACAGGAACTATGTGTACACTGACTTATAAACATAGTCCAGCAATTTGCCAGAAAAGAAAACAGTCTCTGGTCCTGAGGCTGAAAGAAGTTGCCAACCACAGTCCAGAAAGGATATTCTATAGCAGAAAGCAAGGAAAAAAAAAAAATGAGCACAGTGTTGCATAGCAGAAGACAGCAGAGAACACACTGAAAGGGGAAGGGGGGCAGGAGAAAGTAACGTGCTGTCTTGGTATCACAGGAAAGGATGCATGGAGAAGGACCCTAGCCAGAAAGAAAGGGAATGCCTACTTTCAAAGGGCAGGATGCCTTCCAGGTAGTACGAAGGGCAAATGGACATAAGTCTCCTTAAGGTTGTTAAGATTTATGGAGAAAAGTTTAGGATTCGGGAAGCTATCCCATTGAGACAGGGAGTCGATTTCCCCTTGATAAAATCTGGTCTGGGTAAGGCTGTCAGAAGCCCTTACTAATGCAAGAGCATTATGCTGTAATGGCAGGAACAGTATTCCTGATTATATGCCACTAGATTGCACATCAGGAATTCTGCTTGGCCTAAGAGAACTGCCAGCTCACTATCTTCCCATTCAAAGAAGCTGCCTTAAGAAAGAAAAGAAAGGGGAAGGGGAGGAGAGAGAATGAGCTGAGGCCACTTCTGCATTTAGGGGGCAGGAGTGAGAGCCCACTTTCTCCTGACGCCCAGCAACTGGTGAAAGTGTAGTTGCGGAGCACTGCCACAGAGCGGTGCCTGGTCTACACAATGGGATGGGTAATTTACTGGAGATGTGTGAAACTCTGTAAATCCAGCACTCTGGTTAAGTTTACTACCCTTGCTAGATCTAAGGTGCCACTGGGGAGTCGTAAACAAATGAAAGGGCATTTCTAAGCATAGTGCCAGTCTCAGGAAGAGTCTCAGGAGTCCTCTAAAAACATGGGGTACAGAAAGGAAAGGGAGACTTTCTCTTCTTGACATCCTGTTCAGTTCACCCTTCTTCCCCCACACTACACAAAGAATCCACATCATGAAACATTCTAGATACAGAATTCTTTGGTTCTCTGCCCCTTCCATTTCAAGTCAGTATTTTCCTATTCTTAATTCTATCCACAAAACCTATGTTTTTTAAATCATGATAAAATAAACTAAAACATAAGGTTTCCTAAGGGCTCATTTTCTATTAATACATGTACTTATAGTCTTTGCTGGAGGCAACACGATGAGAAGAAAACGTATGGGCTCCAGAGTTTGAGAAACCTGAAATTCAAACCCAGATGCCACTTCTACTTCCTAACTGTTTGAGTCCTTGGGTAAATTGATTAACAGCTCTAAAGCCCATTTTCTCAACAGAAAGAGTAAAGGACAGGGATAATTTAAGGAGGTCCTGTCCCAGTGCCCACTTTAGATGTGGCTCTGGAGGATCATGGGAAAAAAGAAACCTTCCAGAAAGAGGTTGTGGGGGGAGCTGACCAGAGGGATTGAGGAGCTGCAGTCTCCAGTGAGTGCTGTGTACACCCCATTCTCTTCCTGGCTAGGAGCATCTGCTGAGGTTATGCAGCCTTATCCCACGACTGTATCCTAGTGTGGGGGGCCGCCAGGGAGGCAGCAGAGTGGAGTGGAAAGAGCCTGAGATGTAAGTCAGACGAGAATACAGCTCTCTACTTTCACTACCTGTGGGAAATGAGAGCACCTCACTTAACCTGTCTGAACCTCAGTTTCACTGTCTGATAAGATGGAAATAATACTAGGGGCGCCTGGGTGGCGCAGCCAGTTGGGCGTCCGACTCCTAATTTCGGCTCAGGTCGTGAGATCGAGCCCTGCATTGGGCTCTGCACTCAGCGTGGAGTCTGATTGAGACTCTCTCTCCCTCTGCCCCTCCCCACCCCACTGTCTCTCTAAAATAAATTTTAAAATATATTTCAAAGATTCTCTCCCTCTTCCCCATCCCCCTCCCCCTCTCTCTCTCTCTCTCTCAAAAAAAAATAAATAACACTTAAAAAAAAAAAAAAAAAGATGGAAACTTGCAGGATTGTTGTGAAAAGTAAAAATAATGTATGTGGAGTACAAAGTACAACCTAGGACACACAGTAGGCTCTTACAAGTCATAGCTACTGAAGAGCAATCTGTACCTTACTTCCTTTTGCAAACCTACAACACTCCAACCAGAAAACAATCTCAGTATGCCTGAATTCCTCTTACCCTTAAGACAATAGGTCTAGATTTTCCCAAATATTCTATGTTATGCTTTGGAAAATCTGTACACCAAACTTTATGTATACCTTCTAATTGGTACTTACAATTTCCTTTTACATTTGCTTATCTTTTCATATATGCATATATGTGGATGTATAAATGATGCACTGAGCTAAACTCAACAGGGTACAAGCATAAAACTTTCCTTCAAAGCCCTTCTGTGGACAAGTTTTCCCTTGCTCCTGAATGAAATCTAACGCAAGTCTCCTAATTTTTTCCAATCATTCTTTGATTATAAATAGTTGTTCAATCACTGTCAGCCCCAAGACGTTATGATTTTGATAATTAAGATGTCTAGTACAGTGTGTTAGTCAATACTCATCTAAATTAAAAAGCTTTTTTCCCCTTCTGAGCTAAAGCTGAAAAGTCTGCAATTGGGCTGGGGCAGGGGGGGGGAGTGATACCAGTCATTGTCTGTCTTTCCCCATCTGTTTCTGCATCTCTTCAACTTCTAACAAGGCTCTCTGGTTCCTTCTGGGTTGGAGCTGAAGGAGTGGGGAGAAGTAAGGGGCACTGAAAAGGCCACACCAACGAAATCTGATGTCCATGCTAACTTTCTATGGGTCTCCTAGAAGAGTCCCTACATGGGAGCCTCCATGTGC